ATAATAAAGCCACTCAACAATTTTGATATCTGTTGATAAGAAAACGAAGAAACTTTATCACTTTGAGATTCAAAATTTCTCCATCCGTTTCTTGTCATTTTCTTGACGGCAAAGAGGCTGCGCATTCCATAACAATTGTGTCGCTGGAAGGCTGAGCTCCTTTTTTTGATAGCCGAGGTGGAAATGTATTTCCTCTACTCCTGAAAGTAGCAGTAGTATGTGAGACTCAACACACCAGAAACTCTGCTATTCAGTAGGTACTTCCAACCAGGCCCCGTTAAAGAGCTGGGGTCGTTTTCGCATTCTTCTGGAGCCTCAGCGGTCTAACTAATATGCTTTATCAAAACTTCCGGTTTAATATACCCTATATAGGAAGTAGCACGTGGGCATACCTTCTCCTATTTTCTCCTCACGTTCTAACCCCTTATTCATCCTAGAGCGCTCTCTCTCTCGTTCTTTTTTATCTTTCTAAAGCTCGCCGAACACTTGCTCATAGAAGAATACCAGTTCTATCCACGGAGCACCCGGCTGGGACCTCGAGTCTGCCTGTAGCATGGTACGGGCGACAGTTGTTTAATTTCTCTTTAAATTTGATTTTGTAGACAAGAAAATTCTGGCTGGGTTAAATTTAAGTTACTACAGTTTTTAATAATTTAATATATTGCGAATGTGGTACAGCTGAAATACTAAGCCATAATTTGTAAATCGCGGCAACTTTCAAGAGTGAAACGAAACGTCACTGAAACTGTCACCTGCACCATGCTACAGCGCACATACTATAAGAATAAACGTGAATAGAACTTTATTAAGGAAAATAGCTTGGTGACGTCATATGTTTTGGGGATTAAATTAGGACCGGTAAGGTTCGTTAGAGGCTACAGATAATCCACTACATTCATACTACGTAAACAATATTATCTATTGTATTGCATAACACACCACAGCTTAAACTGAATCTATCTTAAGCTTTGTTTATGTTGGATCTTAAATGTTTACACATGTGTAATTGTAGGAATTATAATTTATATTTAGATGACCGGTGACTAAGCGAATACGTATTCTAATAACATTGTTTGAATTAAGAATACAAATATGTACGTTTTTTTTAGTTTCATACGAAACTACCTGTCTTTTGGATAATGTCACAATTTTTTTACGTTGACTAAAAACAATAATTAGTTAGTTTTATCAAACAACGCATTACGCGCAACTTAATTCATAAAAATATTTGTAACGTATTTTATTTTTGCAAGTTGCAATATGTTCTCAAGAGGTTTACGTTAATAGAATAACACCAGTTTCTGATAGATCATGATTTTCCATACAATTTGTATATTTTTATGAATGTTTTGCTCACGCTGGACAAATTTTTCGTAAAGCTCTTTACCTATAGTTCTGATTCTATTGTAATATAGAATTATTTCAATAGGGTTTCATTATAACGACGACCGGATGTGACTCTTACTAACCATGATTGCTGTAAAGAACTTGCGAATTATGAGAATGTTAGTGTACAACATGCAACTCTCATCGATGGGATCGCTGGTTCGATCCCTGGCTGTGCACCAATGGATTTTCTGTCTACGTCCGCATTTACCACTCAATCGTACGGTGAAGGAAAACAGCGTGAGGAAACTAGAATAAGACTTAAAATTGACAGAAGGCTGTTCACCTATTAGAAATTATCACGAAACAGATACAAAAATCTGAGGCCCAGACCTAATAGGTGGTAGCGTCTATATTCGTTTTAATGGAACATATTTATCTGATAATTCGTAAATATAAACGCAGTATCGTAAAACACCGCATTTGACAATACAAATGTTTGTTCAAAGTTACAATAGTACATGATGCTCAAATAAGCTGAGCAAATATGTACGTTACCTGTGTCGGTGCCAGTTCGAGGTTGAAATGCCGTTTTCCTAATCAAATGCCTCCTATTGGGAATATGCTTCCTTAAAATACCTTCTTATTATTGTCTCTGGGCTGTAATTGTGTTTTGTTATCTGTATACTTTTGTCTTGTTACAGGCTGATATAAAAAAGTATATGAATCAAATGCTATGTTTTATACATTAATTTAAGTTACGAATTTAAAATGTATGGGAGTGCAAGAACTTTTTAGGTCCAGTTGGGCTTTTTTAATCCTCACTGAATTTCGTAAATCTAATAAACGACTCTGTGTACGGCTGCGACTAAATGGTCAGACACAAATATAGTCTATGAAACTGGCGCTAATTAGGCCAGTCTAACTATTTTAATGATATATATCTTTATATGCAACATCAGCTTTCGATGGTACTCTGTGGTTTCGATTAGCGATACTGATCCCGACTTTTTGAGTATGAATCGAAGATTGATGTAGTCCCCTCAAATCCACGCAAACTTCGTAAAAAAAAGTCGATATAGCTATTGATAGCTCAAACTGGCGTAAAACAATCTGCGTGGCTCTACAACATGCAAGTTTCCTCGCGATGTTTCCCTTCACCGTACGAACAGGTTGATTTAATAATATTTATAATATTATATATAATATTTTTAATAATAATTAAAAATCCTTACCGACCCTAAACGCTATTGTTAACTATGAATTTTAACAACTATGAGTTTAACATTCTTTTATGTTAAACAGGATATTAAAAACTTTACTTATGAATATCTAATTCGGAACGCTAAGTGAGCGGAATTTACATTTTAAAACATTACTCCATTCTCTGTTACAGTCTTTATGAAAATTAAGTATTATAGCTACTGTGGAAACTGAATTTATAGGAGTGTAAATATGTATTAAAACAGTTAAAATATGCAGTTTTTTGTTCTTTTTAGTAACAAATAACGTTAGTAATGTACATTACATTAGTCAAATTTTATGTTGAAATTAAACGTTATATTTAAGTTACTCAAACAAAAATGTTAATACTAAAAGTGGAGAGTATTTACGATATTCCTAATCTACATTGTAATAATAATTAATAATTTATAATTACATATATATATATTTTTTTAAACTAATTTAAAAAGTTTTGGCCCTGTGGCAGTGTACGTTTAAAGCTAGCAGCTTTACAATAGTATATTTAAAAGATAATGAGATGTGCATTAATTATCTAATATATAAAATTCTCGTGTCACAATGTTCGTTCCCATACTCCTCCGAAACGAGTCGACCGATTCTTATGAAATTATTTATGCATATTCAGTAAGTCTGAGAATGGGCTACTATCTATCTTTCAAGATTTTTTTTTTAGTTTTTAGAAAAAAAAGTTGTTGTTGTTTTTTATTATGTTATGATACAGCATACAAAAATACATACAACCCCTAATTTTCACTGCTCTACGATCAAACCCAATTTTTTATTATTGTAGGTAGTTGTTTTATTGAACTAAAAATTGGTTTCCTAGAAATAATATACATGGCAAATAAACGTTTGCCGTGTCAGATAGTTATTATATATATAATTATAATTACACACAATCACTCGGAATACATACAATTTATTCTATTTATTTTGAAAGCAATTACAGTTGTTAATCAGCCCGGTGATGTATCCCATTTCGATAAACACATTTTGTCACACGATTGATAATTCCGGAGTTAGCTTTGAGCGTTGTCAGTGCAAACTTCCGTTTAACTGTCCATAGCTATACAAAGTGTTATTATATGCTAATGCAAAATACATCTACGTGAATATTGGTATGAATGAGTAAGACACTAATTGAGACTGTAAGTAGTGTTGTTGAAGATTTTTTTATGTTAAATATCCTTTTTAGTAAATTAAGTTAGACTTTAATTACTAATCCGTCTAAAGTTAGGATCGTAATGTTAAATGAAATCCATAGATTTCATTTAACACGAAAAAAGTGAATATATGAATAATCTTTACAATTCAACGACAGACGTTGATAATTACAGTTCATATACGCCATTGCCATTCAGATTTTTAAAATTACGTTTAAGACTTTATCAAAGACATGGTAGAGCTACTGGTCTAGATTGTCAACGCCTCCATTTCTTACCCGTTAAAGAGTATGGCCGTTTGTCCACCGCCGCCGTCACTGGGACGTCACCGAGAACGAGATTTTTTGGGGCCGAGTTTAAAATGACGTGACGGCGATCGTTTGTCAACCGCGCCGATATATCGGTGACTCAATTCTAAGTAAATTATAGATATATTAGTAGTTCATTTCAGTTTTTAAGGAGCTGCAACCATTACACCATGTTCCACATGGCATCTTAAATAATCTTAATAATAAAATCAATTAAAAACAAAGATTTGTCAATTTGGAAATTCAGAGAAAATAATCATTGCAATCGGACATAGAAGTCATACTTACCTTAAAATATCTATGAAACATATGAATGACAATATTATAGGTATAGTGAAATCACGTATAATACTGAAATAATTAAGTTTAAACGTTGAGGAAAATTTTACCATTTCCTCACATCCATGACAAAGCGAATTTGCTTTCTGATGAACGTTGTGACCACACCTAGTCTATTATTACTTTCGTTTCATTAGTTTTCCTGGTTTTTAATTTTCCGTCTTTAAACGTTTTCCTTGTAGACTTAAAGTTAGGGAAAAATATAACATCTACATTTAACTGTCGCTATTTTTCTAAATCTAAGGAGTTATATTAAGTCTTTGGTTATAGAATCAAAAATCTAAATCTATTAAACAGTTCAATACTTGTCTATGCTGTTGTTTTAATAACCTGTATATATGTTATATAGATCTGTTGCTTATGGTATTTCTATATTCCTTTTCCAATCAAACGCCGTACCAGAATCCAAGAGTTAAAATATAGTGTTTTTATTAGTTACGTTTTACTTATTTAGTTACAGCTAACATAAATTATATATAACAAAAAAACAATTAAACTAAAGATACAGCCAAATATGGAATACATAATATTTACCTAAAGGTTCAAATATTTACAAAAATATTTAATACATTCAACTAAGTACTACCCTAATTCGGCTGTGTTATGTGATGGTGTAAAAATGAGGTGTACTCAAGATGGAGGTGATATAGCGCTATGGATGTTCTTAATAGTCCTTTTAAGCATATTCCGCGATAGCTTAAACAAATCAAGGCTTAAACATTTGCCGTTGTTTAACCATAGTTAATATCAATCACGATTTGTGAAATAATATTAACTGTGAACATGTTACACGATTCCTCTACTACCTTGCGATTCTGTAACTCACTTTTCGAACTCTCACAGTGGTTTTCGCGCTCAAATCAGTCGTAAAGCAGTCATTTTACGATTTGGCATTCTGATAAACAATAAACTACAAGCTTCCCTCCTTAGCGCTGTGAGAGTTCGAAAAGTGAGTTACAGAATCGCAAGGCTGAGCCGTTATACAAATATCTCCAAAAATGTATAGAAAACGAAAACAATACAACATTAACATAATACGTTATGAATATATTTTAATTTATCCCACTTATTAAGGGTTTAGTAATTGTAATTTTGTTTCTATTCTATATGTTAATTTTTAGGTGGGTGTTCAGCTTTTGGCCATTCCTGTTTTGGAGGACACGGGAAGCGCTCAGAAAACTCACAGGTATTCAATATATTTAGTATTAATTTTTACACGGAAAAATGGTGTCGCGGTCGTAGTTTGAATATAAGAGGCTCGAGAATTGCGCGCTTATCCATATGCTAACACTGTTCTGCGTACCAGTTGGAGACAGAACAGAGCCTCATGTTGACGTCCGGTAACGCCATTTTAATTTGGCATTTATCAGCTTTAAAGTCGAAAAATGTTATGCCAGTGACCGTACTTAGTACAGTTTAACGCTATATGTTTTTTTAAATTATAACAGGGAGGAAACGAGCAAGAGGCTCATGTGTTGTTAAGTGAAACCCACCGCTCATGGATACTCACATTGCCTGGAGGCTCGCAAGTGCATTGGCGCCCTTTTAAGAATTGGTGCGCTCTTTTCTTGAAGGACTCTGAGTAAAATTGGTTCGGAAATACTGCTGCTGGTTCCACATAGTGGTAGTGCAATAACGCTCGGTTGTGGAACGACAGACGTCGAGGTGATACGGGTGTAATTTCGTATTCTGCCACGAATGGGGTAGTTAAAGACTCATACACTGAGTCGCCAATATTTATTTATGTACAAGTTTAAACTTAGGTACTGACACCAAATAAGAAACATTGAAACAAAGTATTTATATATATATATAATATTATCGTATATATTTTATTATGCCTGTATGTATTTTACTAAAGCTAATATAACTTTAAGCTGTGTAAGTACTAAATATGCCAGTGTCTTAGTACGGCGTAGAACAAACACTTGCAAGTAAACAAGCAACTTAAGGTTTGACTTGTAGCGATCGCCATCGCCTCAAGTGTATGCTTAACAAGAATTGAATATTCAAGGAATATTGATTTTTAAAGTTTAATTGGTACATATTTGTCTGAAAATAAAGCAATATATAACATAGTATTGTCTTTGATTAACATAACTTTTATTCATTTAATAAAACACTATTTTGACCGGATTGAAGTTATGTATTATTATAAATTTACAACTATTTAACATAATTTTAAATTTATCCTAACGGATGGTCACGGTGACCACGCACGCTGTAAAGCACGCGAAACGTCGGATAAATTTAAAATTATGTTAAATAGTTGTAAATTTATAATAATACATAACTTCAATCCGGTCAAAATAGTGTTTTATTAAATATATAACATTTTCAGTTTCTTTTAATTATGTATATTTTTTGAGTCCGAATTCCAGCTGCCCACTGAAGTATTTCCGAACCAATTCGACTTAGGGTCCTTCAAGAAAAGAGCGTACCAATTCTTATAAGGCCGGCAACGCACTCGAGAGTCCTCTGGCATTGAGAGTGTCCATGGGCGGCGGTATCACTTAACAGGTCAGCCTCGTTTGCCCAGTTCTATAAAAAAAATTGTGCCAAGTATTTTTTAAGTTTTACGTTAGTAAGTATAGGTAAAAGGCAAAAGTTGTTTTCTAAATTATTATCTTTTCAATTCTTGATAATCCTTGGTAATGAAATACAAAAACACAAGAAAAAATCACATACGTTAAGTATGTTTTTGTGTTAAGACAAAAACTTTGAGGTTCCAAAAACTAACACACGCTCATAAGAACTCAAATACAGAGTGTATTATACGCATACACACCCATTCAAATACTCATACATTAACGCATACTTAAGGTATACGACTTTTTTTTGATTAGATGTACCACTAAGACTTATTTTTCTTGAAATAAAAATATACCATGTACCACGGAATAATTGTACCCTTAAAACAGGAGCTCCCAGTGTGGGGTTTAGCGTTAGTTCAATTTTGTCACAACCATATTCATGTAATCGATAAAGTTTATTATTATTACAATACGATTACATATTAATAACAAAATAACACGTACCATAGGAACATAAAATCTTCGTCATGCTACGATAGTGCTTGCTACGTCGTAGCTTACACTGTTCTACGCCCGGGTGTTACAACCGATATTTTTCACTAGGCATCAAGCTCCGAAATAATGAGTGGTCGACAACTAGGACAGGAAGAGACGCCACCTCACCCTGTCTACCCTCACTCTGGTTATGGAATCTTGCCTTCTGGTGACGACATCATACCGATCAGGGATGGTGGTAAGTTTTGTTTCTAAACAGTGCTTACATATTAATAAATACATATTAATCAAGTAAGAAAAACATATTATATGCTACATCTAAATCAGCAAACTACTTTTTTTATATATAATAGGGGGGCAAACGAGCTTGCGGGATGACAATAAAGGGCAGTCTTCGCAGCCCATAGACACCCATTTTTACTAAATTCGATTTCCGAAAATAGGTAATCGATTCCAATCTGATGTAAGATTAGGTTATTCTTTTCTGGGCTATATACGTATAGTCTGATATATTTAAATATGTAGCCCTAAAAATCTATACAATCTATTTCTGCCCATCATCATATTCTATCGAAGGCAGCATTCAGAAATAGAGAATTGTCTGCTAATATTTCACGTTTTGTAGGTGTATACGAACGCGAGGACAACCCAAGAGATGTAATGAGAATGAAGCTTCGAAATATCGTTAAAAATTGGGTAAGAACAAAACAAAAGTTGTCGACTTTATTGATTAATTTAATTTACCGCATAATGTACCTAACGTTCAAGTTATATTTTAAGACATTACGGCATACGATGTTTTTCTTCACCGTACGAAAATAATAATTGCATCGAAAGAAGAATCTATTGATTTAAAATCCGGGTTTTGAGTGAGAACGAAATCGCATACTTATCCAATGCGCTAACAATGCTAATATTATATTTATGGAATGTGTGCAATAATTATCTAATATATAAAATTCTCGTGTCGCGGTGTTTGTGGTTAAACTCCTCCGAAACGGCTCGACCGATTCTCATGAAATTTTGTGTGCATATTGGGTATGTCTGAGAATCGGACAACATCTATTTTTCATTCCCCCTAAATGTTAAGGGTAGTCCACCCCAAAAAATTTTTTTAATTTTTAGATGAATTTTTATATTTTTATTTTTTTATGATACAACATTTAAAAATACATACAACCCCTAATTTTCATCTCTCTACGATTAACCCCTATTTATATTATAAATGATATACATGGCAAAACGACGTTTGCCGGATCAGCTAGTTTTCATATAAATTCTCGGGCCTTTTCGTTTTCCGATTCCCTTTTTTGTAACTATCAGTTTTTGCCCTTAACAATTATTGCGTTACCAGCAACCAAACCCAGCATTTCGATTCATAGTTTACCAATAAACCATGGACTTGGTGACCACTGGATTGGAATAATATAACATATACATGCTTAAAATCACTGCAATTCAGAATTAGGCTTTTGTAATGTTTACAAAGTCTTTGATCAATCGACCGTCAAGTATATGGAAATTCGGTATTTACCAATAATGAACCAACGCGTTCAATTCCGGGATTTCCGCATACACGACTAGGAAAGTACATGAAAATTTGCTAACCAATTCTATTTAGGAAACATCTTTCTTTGGGTATTTCAATAGTGTGTCCATATATGCGAGTATGGGATTAGTTTGAATAACATTTTGAAAATTTTTATCAGCACCTCGATCGAAGCTATGTTTTATTCAACTGACTTTGCAATTCTGCCTTGCGATTCTGTAACTCACTTTTCGAACTCGCACAGCGGTTGATCCTTATAAACAATAAACTACAAGCTCCCTCCTTATCAGAATGCCAAATCGTAAATTGACTGCTTCACGCCTGATTTGAGCGCGACCGCCGCTGCGAAAACCGCTGTGCGAGTTCGAAAAGTGAATTACAGAATCGCAAGGCTGTTCTAGAATTCCAAATTAAATCTTATTCAAATAAGTCTTAAGTAGTCAAGACTTAGCCCTAATTAATACCTTATGTCAAATCCAAAAAAGTTCATGTTGAGTACGTACAATACGGCGGTTATAATGTTATTTAATAACGATGTATGTTACAGATGGAAAACTTCAGACGATCACAACAGAATGAAGATGGACTCTACATTGAAAATTTGTAAACTGTCTTAATTTATTACCTATCAAATAGATTATTTCAATTCGCTATGAACTGTCGTCAATTGTTTTATTTACCGATGCTAATTATGACTTCTTCAAAAATGAATTATTTTGTTAATTTCTACTTACGCAATCATATTTCACTCTTCAAGGCTGGGTTTTCAAATTCCTATTGTATATATTATAAAATAGGTTCCGGTTTTATATTATATAGATGACCTTGTTGTATATTTAAGGAACTCTTCAAAACATGTTTTTCAAAACGTAAGTTTACCATCATAACGTAGTCTAGATATTTGAACATAAAAATATTCTGTTTTATTAAATAAATTATTAGACTTTGAATGTTCTTTCATTTCCTATATAAATACCATGTTAACTCGATTTCAATGCATGACATTAAAGTAATAAATAAAGGGTTAATTCGACTAAAAGTAGTCCGGAGACTGTCTTTAAAAGGTATTTAGTAACAATTTTCCTCAATTAACTTCGTTAGTACAGTCAGTAAACAATAATTGTATTAAACGAGACTAAATTATACTTAACTTCGTAGTATATTAAACTGGATCAAGTCTGATACTTGCAAATTTAAGTGAGAAAAAGGCAAGTTATAGTTAAATTTAATTTATTCCTAAATTCTTCCAATCAAACTTCATAAAATTAAATTGGGTTAATTTTTTTTAAATTAAATTATTATTTTTTAACTATTTAAGTTTGAAACTATCTAGAATTAAGAAAGAATATCTAATATATAAAATTCTCGTGTCGCGGTGTTTGTAGTTAAACTCCTCCGTAACGGCTCGACCGATTCTCTTAAAATTTTGTGTGCATATTGGGTATGTCTGAGAATCGGACAACATCTATTTTTCATCCCCCTAAATGCTAAGGGTAGTCCACCCCTAAATAATTTTTTTTTTTTTAGATATTTTTTTGTGTTTTTTTATGATACAGCATTAAAAAATACAAACAACTAACTTTCACCCCTCTACGATCAACCCTTATTTTTTTATTATAAATGATATACATGGCAAAACGACGTTTGCCCGGTCAGCTAGTATATATATATAATTGACCTATTCAGCTCACAGCTTAATACAAATAATGGTATGCAACAACGGGAAACATATTTCAAACATTGGAGAACATGTTTACAATTATCTTTTGTGAGGAAACTCAAGTAATTTCAAGTTTTACACGCAGAATGAATTTGAAATCAATGGTATTTGGGCCCGGAACAACTTTGAAATAAGACAAAAATAACTGGCGAAATTTTAATTATGGGTTGGTTGTTACATTTCTTCTTTCATGTCATTTACATTTCGAATTTCAAAATTAAGCCTTTGAAAATATTTGAAAGGTTTTTCACTTAATCGAAAACATTTTTTTTACGTTTGTTTTGTTAGTGCTAGATGAATTGTAGGGCTGGTTATATATTCATGTTGTTAGTGCCTATAGTAGTTAGTTAATTTCTTGTATTTTTTATTAAGTAATTTTGTTTTTCCTAATTAATTTTGTATGTTTGCTTTTTTGTTTCGTCTGTAAACTTTAGTCACTTATTGTTCACTCTTGTCAATTTAGGGTCGCCTGTTAGGGCAGGAGTGTTTTATAAATAAATAAATATAAAAAAATGTATTTTCCATGAGCTGCTTAAAAAGATAGGGTACATTTACGTGTTATAATATCTCCTAAGTAAATACAGAAGAGCCGTCGAAGCCAAATAATTTTTGGGAAAATTTTAAGGTGTTTTTTTTATCAGTTCCACTATTGCTTGGTCAAACAACGTTAAACGCTAACGGCAGTCACACGGTCAAAGTACGAATGGCTACAGGTTAATTGCAAGTACGTAGCCGGTCTCTTTTTGCTTTACCCTCTTCTCTGGAATTGTACAATGATTTGGAAACCTATAATGGCAGTTGGATCCATAAAGATGTGATGTGTGGGAAGAAAGGAAATACACACACACTAAATCAAGCTTTAACCGTTAAATCACTGCTATTTAATTTAATTTCCTTATTCTGCAGGCTTTCTTGCCTCAAAAATAAATCACTGAAATAGTAACAATCGTGATACATATCACGGTTCCTCAAACAACAAAGATAAGGTCGTATGAAAAGAGTGTTTAATAAAAGATCTATTTAAAAACCTCTCCCAGGCGTAACATAGTTTAAGTTGAAAAGTAATTAAAATTTCTTTTGATGGGAAAAATTGTTAAAGAGTTGTTAAGTAGCTGAAATAAAGATGAGAATAAATTCGAATGTCGATAAATATGCTTGCTGTGGTTTTGTTCCAAGTATTTTCAAACGGCTTACGTTTTGAACCTTTGAAAGTTAAACATTATTTGGACACCTCATGTATATAATAAAGTTCTTAAAGTGATTGTTAATAATTTGCTAGGGTTGACTTGTATCTGTCACCCGTCTTTGGCTTGACTTTCATTTAAGGGACACTCTAGATTGGTCTAGTTTGAAAGAATTCATCAAAAATGAATAAAATCATTGCCAGAATTCACTTCACGCGTATTAATTAACACGATTTTAATAACAGACAGTCAGACATTTAAATTTCATTTAATTAACTGAAATCGAACGTGAATTTTCGAGGTGCCCGTTTTTTCAAGAGTTTATTTTCAAATCCAAAACTATAGGAACTGATACAAAGTAAACCTTTTATTAGTTCACTCGACGGCCAATTAAAAACGTTATCATATATTAACGTTTTTAATTGTCCGTTTATTAAAATAGTTAATTAATACGGACATAACGGACAATTAAATTTTTTTAAGGAAATTGCAAAAAGGATAGTCGACACCAGCTGGCAGCTACCTCGGTTAAAGAATTAGTCTAGCTATTCAAAGGGGGAACGCTGCCATCTTCAAAACCTTGCCTAAAGGGACTCCTTTTAATAACATATTTTAGTTATTATATTTTAAAGTTAATTATTGTTGTTATATTAATTTATGTTAGCTGTATGATTATGAAATCTTCATATCGTTTAAATACTTTGACACATAGTCATATATTATGTTAATTAACTATTTCCATGCACTGTGTCATGTGCCCTTTTCAAAGGTTAGTTTTCTGAGGGTACGAATAGTTATGGCGGTCGATGTAGTCTCCTAACGTAACAATCTCGCAGCCTGAGGCCAAAGTGGTTTGGGTCATCACATCATTAACTAGACCTGTTTTTAAATTGTCCATGGTGTTTAATAAAATGGCTTTATAAAATAGAAAATAGAATATGTTTATTATGGGACATAAGATACAGGTTTGACTTATTCTACGTCATTAAATTTGAATCGGTAGACATCCCTACTCATCGGCAAAGAAGACAGAGGGTGTAGGCCGAGAGAAAAAACTCGGTACTCTTTTAAAATAGCAAATCATCACACAACACGTATTTTAAAACAAATATCGCAAATTAATTAGAAGTAGCCCGTCTAGCACTAGTCCCAGGCCCTTTTATCAACTAGATAGTCGTTAACTTTATAATAAGCCTTTTTACACAGCTTTTATTTAATAGGTATATTATATAGACCGGTAATATGGCAGTCCGAGAAGAGATAGCGGAAGAGATCGCTTGTTAGCGATAAGGCCGTCATTGGCCCAATTTATGTTACCGGTTTTTATAAAATAATTTTAGTAAATAAATAAATGCAGTACCTACTATTGTAACTAAACTTCGTTACAAAAAACTTTTACAATAAAAATATATTATTATATAGCCTTGCCATTGCCATTTATTAGCGCTAACTTTACCTAAGAGCGAAATTAATTCCTCCCCCATTTAATGGGTCTCATGTATCAAGAATACCTCGGCACAAGCAATTATTTTAAAGTTAATTTACAATCTATATCAAATAAATTATATAGATTGCTGTCTGGCTTAGGTCTATACTTTTTATTTATGTAATAGGAGGCAAATGGGCAGGAAGCTCACCTGAGTGATACCGCCGCCCATGGACACTCACATAGCCAGAAATGAGATGCCGGCGTTTCAAGAATTGGTATGCTCTCTTCTTGAAGAATATTTAGACAGGAAAGGTATTATTAATATAATCTCCAAAGAAAAAAAACATATATTTATTATTACTAGTCAAATTAATCCGTTTTATTGGAATGTTTCATATTTGCGCTCTTTAATTACACTAAGCCTCGCAATTATGTATAGCAATTGATTAAGTAGATATGTGAGAAAAGAACGATTTTACGAATCCATTCACAAATTGGTTAGTAAACATTTTTTAATATGAGTATAAGTTGTAAAAAAATAAGTTACATTATTTTTGAGCGGTCTAGTATAGTGTAGCCCCATTTAGGGTAAATACTTCCTCCATATTTTTCAATTTCTCTTTCTTTTTTATTATGATTTTTCTCAATGCATTATAGTGAAAAAATGTCTTTTTTATTTTCATTAATGTCCTATTCTACCCTTTTCATATGTAATTAAGGGTGGTAGTATATTTTTTACTACTACTTGAATCACATTAAAATCAGTTTTAATATATGTATACTATAACTCATGGAAGGCATTTGAAAAATAATTTCGTTATCAAACATACTTTAGCATAATTTAACGATAAGACAAGTCAAGAATTGTCTCTGCGTCGGCGTATTTTGTGAACATTATATACGTGTCTCTTATAAACAAAATTTTTTCACTCTTTTAAATTGGATCCATTTTATCAGTATCTGCAGTACTGTCGTAGTTATATGCAAGTCGTATTTTCCGGTTTTTACGAACCAACGAGGCAGCTGTAATAGGGAAATGAGGAACGATCGTCAGTTCCACTCATGTCTAGGACTAGTTTTATATTTGCCTTGAATATATTATTCAAGAGTATACTGTTATAAGACTAAAGACTGCTATTACTAATATTATTATTTAGTTATATGTAGTAAAGGAGAATCTAAAAAATAAAATAAATAAAAGGCGCGTCACAACAATTAAAATTATGCACTTGCTACGTAAGTTTTCAACTAAAACAAGATCATTCAATCTGCAC